ATAGTTCAATATATCCTACGCCATCGACGTATCTGTCAAAAGCATACCCTTCCTGGTTGTTTAGTCCGTACGGTTTTGGGGGAAGCCACGGCCGCCACGTTTCCTGAAAACGTAGGGAGGGAGTGGCAAAGGCAGGGAGGGAGGACCGGCAACGCACGTCACACGCACTGGGGGGGGGGGGGGGGTTGAATCGGTAACCCGAGCGCAGCGAAAGTTCCTCGTGCACTTGATGTGCTACGGTGTGTCTGCGTCCTCCCAAATCCGTACGGAGGCGGTACTCACCACGTACGGATACTCAAATTTTACCCACGTGTTTGCACGTAGACAGCACGCACTTGCAAGTACGGCGGGTTGAGACCTGAGAGCGAGCATTTACACTGCAAAAACCTGGTAGAGTTTCGGCCAGGGTTTGAACAATAAAACAACACTCCAGAGGTCAGATTTTTTTGTCGTGTTAACGGGTAGTTGCCTAGCAACCTCCGACAAAACTCTGGAATGTAAAATAAACAAAGGTTTTTGCTTGCAACGTAAATTCCCATTAATGAGCACTCAACCGACTCCTAATCTAACAAAGGCAAAAAGCAAAGTTGCATGTTTATACTATTTATTTACATTTAATAATCATATCACATATTCAGATAATGATGATTCCTACTCAAACGTAGATGGATACCAGTTGTTGTTCATAATGTCAGTGTGCAGCAATGGTATTTGTATTCCTCATGTTGGAAAGGGATTTTTTTTTTGGTCTTAGTTGGCAGGGAGTATTAGACAAATAACCAAACGCAATAGCCAGGTGGGGGTGGGAGGGTGTAGATATATGTAAAATCGTTTATTTTACTGAGAAAAATATTCAAACATTTGCTGTACTTTGTGATGAACTCATTGATGATAGGTGTGGATAACAAGTTGAATACGCCTGATCAGGTGCGAGTAGTGCCCCATTTTCACCTCTGATAATTTCGATTTTTACTTTGAAACGTGCTCCTCTTCATTTCTAATAAATGTCCTTTAAGATTTGGATATGCGTTCCCTTTTTCTTGCACCAACAAATGTGATCCTAACTCAAAGCCACTAAGAGCATTTTTTCCCAATTTCACTCAAAGCTCGCTCGCTACGCTCGCTTTCATTTTATAGTAATACAGATATTCTTGTCCTTTTTATTAGAACTTATTTTGCGCACTGCGAACTTATAACAAGTTTTGAATTCGTTTATCGCTCACTTCGCTCGCTCGCAAATGAATATTCAGACCATCACACTCAACTCCAAAGTATGATGTTTCAAGCCCCTCGAAAGTGTTGGGAGACGCAAATTCGCAAACAATTTGATGGCAAAATGTTACTAAAATTGTATCATAATGTAAAAGAAGATGTAGTTTATGACACACTTTCCCAAAAATTTCTCCTTATTCCCAAAAAGAAAAATGTTTTTGAAGACAAATATTAATAAAATAAAATATAATTTGGATTATCTGTTTTACGCAGAAAACCTGATTTGTGTAATTTTCCGTCAATATTTGACTTCAAACACATTTGTTTTGATCATCCTTGCAGAAGTGTGTCTTTTACACTTTAGAGGGGCTTTAGGAAGTATCTTGGACCATGTAAACAGAAAAACAGAAAATGACATCATCTCTGATAATCTAATCACAATGTAAGCGTCTAAGGGCCTACCAATGTCTAAAATGTGTATATTTTTGCTTTGAGGTTTCTTTTAGTAGGTACCCCTTTCTTTTCAGAAAGTGCCCTTTTTTGTTCCCCCCTCCCCCCACACACACACTTTGAAAGACGCTTCGCTGCCATGCACATGACTGAGTGCCTTCTTTATTGATTTAATTCTTAAACCAATATCTTTAATATGTTTGTGAAAGCTGCGTCAAGAACATGAACTTCGGACCCCCGTGTTTGCCGCTCATAAATATAAATTATTAACTTGATCAGATAACAAATATCATTGTAAAGTGTATTATGTTTGCAAGGAACTGATTAAGACAGAGATATATGCTACGTTTCTAAACATAATTAGACGCCGTGTATTATCGCATACAGTAATGTAGTTCGTTTATGGTTTTCACTGCTATACAAAATATTAACAGTAGTTTGTTAAATAATAATGGGTTTTCATTTCAAGCTTTTGATTAACAGAGAGGTGTCAAACAAGGTTTGCCCTCTATCGCCTTACCTGTTCCTTATTGGAGCAGTAGTTCTTGAATTGTTGATTTAGATTATTTTGTTTAATCTGTTTGCAGGACAAATTAAGAAAGCAGAAGAAACGTTTGGATCAGGAGATTTTTTTTCCGGATAATCCATTCATACGAAATAAATGCTGAATTTACAACGTCTTTACTTCATGTTCAGAACACTCTTCCGTGCACCCTTGGTGACATGAGATACATGAGTCCCTTTAAGTATCTGAGTTTTAATGTCGTATTTAGCTTGTTCACAGGGAGCAGCGAATTACCTTATTGTAGGGAAAACACCACAATGATTTTTGGAATATCTTAATATATCTAACTTTTATACATTTCTCTTCAGCGTCAAAGCATAAAAGACAATATTTTTCCCGTAAAATTCTTTACAGGATCTCGGTATACTCCTCTTTTTCGAATATCATTGTAAAACGCCTTGAATGCCATAGTTTTCTTAATATTGCTTGTTTTGGTATCGACAATTGAGACTAATACTATAAATTCCAAATGAAATATATCTTTTATTGATATATTGCAGTTCATGCGCGTACGCAGGTAGGGGGGGGGTGGTATTTTCGGTGTGTAAACCCCCCTTAAAGCCCCCTAAAACCCTACCCCCCCTCAAGTATTTTATTTTTTTTTTCATAAAAAAAAAAAAATGCCCATGGCTGACCTAATTTTCGAATTTCAAGACCCCACTCCCCCAAAAAAGGTGTCCTCTTACCCCCCCCCCCCCCCTCCCCCTCCCCCCTCTACCCTCCCCCTCCCCCCGCTTATTCAGCAGCTGGCTGAGTCGTTGCGATTTTTTTTTTTTACTCCAAAAAAAAAAGTGTCCGCTCACACCCCCCCCCCCCCCCCCCAACTGAGCGACTTTTCGGCCGGCGCGATTTTGTTGCGAAATTTTTAGCCCGATTTTAACCCCCCCTCCCCCCCCCCCCCCCTTGACAAAATCCTGCGTATGCCACTGTTGCAGCTGCAAAGACACTTGAACTTGACACCCACGCGATCGCGGGTCTTATGTGTCAATGATTTATTCGATCTGCTCACATTATGTACATGGTAAAATGCACGTTTCAAATATGAACCTTAAAAAACAACTTTCAAAGGGGCGTTTCATTTGCTTTGTACTGACAGCACCCTGCTGCACGTTCCTCGAACATACACTAAAGCTGGCGACAATGCTTTCCATGCATGTGCTCCGCGACTCTGGAATGAGCTTCCACGTGTTATTCGATTAGCACCATCGCTGGATGTCTTCCGAAAGTGTCTAAAAACTCTCCTCTTTGACCATGATCAACAATAGATTCTTTGATAACTTTTTATGTAAAGCGCTGTGAAACAACAGTTATTTCGTAAGAGCGCTATAGAAATGACTTTATTGTATTGTATTGTATTGTTTCATTTGCATTGTTTTTCTAAATTATTTTTAAGGAAAGATACTTACAGGATATGATACCCGCTTTAAAGGCACCCGCCTTAAAGGTAAAGACCAGTATTGGAAACGCACCAATTTTAAAAAATGAAATGGAAGCTCTCATTACCAATCATGTGAAAGAATATGTTTTGACTAATACATGATGATAACAAATTTGCCGGGAAACCGCCTACTAATTCATATATTTGAAAAGCTTATAATTCCAAAAGGCGCTAAATCCATTTTTTATCAAAATGGAGTTATTAGTATGAGTACATACTAGTTGCACATGTGCATTTAAATCACCATTCCTTTTCTCAAAAGAATTTTCAGAAATATGAAAAAAATTGACACAAAAAATTTGTTTAGTTCCAAAAGGCGCTAAATCCAAAAGTGTTTAATTCCAAAAGGCGCTATATCCACCTTGTGTGTTTTGATCAATCAGAGCGCAGTATTGTTCCAGTGACGGGGGCCGTTTCTCGAAACCAACTCCATGACAGTCATATCTTTGTCGGCGACCTACGGAGATGTCATGAAGCGGATAAACCATTTCTCAAAGCCATGACAGACATGATATCGATATATCGCGATACTAGCAGCTGAAGAACATAGTCTTTGTCACGATCCATTTGATTTATCAAGAATAACCCAAAACAAGTTTTGGGGCTAAAATTGTTCAAAAAGAAATATATACATATAAATTCTCCTAAAAAAAATAATAATTAGTGTGATCATCATATTTACATCATCAAACGATTTGCATATTTCTGTAAAGATTCTTAAATTGAAGAAAAACCGGTGAGTGTTTTTTTTCGACAGTCGAATCAAAAGTTAGTTGAAGGATACCGTAATGTGTTAGTTTATCAGTACGTACTTTTTTGTTTATTGTGACGAGGAATTTTGGGCAAAATGTCTTTTCTCAGCCATTTTTTATTCTAGAGTCTCATAAATACTCGTTATATAATTGATTTGATATTGAAAATATAATTTGGAAGAAGTAATTAGAGAGGGAATAATAATGCACATAGGCCCCAAAGGTATGACGGTATCCTAAGAAAAGACTATGGATCGACTATGGAAAACGGTGTGTAACATTCTTACCTCTCTTATTTATATGTTATAGTTTAATGATTTGTGATTTAATGTTTATATTCAGCTTTTTAAAGTTTCTGTATAATTTGTATTCTCACTTTTTTTCATTTGCATTTCGCATCCCAGAGAACTCGTCTATATTTTTCTCAAAATGATAGTGAAAATAATCGTCCATTTCGCGGCCCATGGAATCGCAACAAACTGACTTGTGATGGCGCTTTACAGCAATTAAAAAGATATGACAGGTTCGGAGCAGTGACAACTCGCTTGTCGCGGAAGTTGTCGCTCATCTTGGCAAAGACGGCTTCGTGAAACACTTAGCTGACAAGTTGCGTGACAGTGGCGAGATGTCGTTGATCTTGTAGTTATGACGGTTTCGAGAAACGGCCCCCGGATTGACAACAGCTTTTAGCTTTTTGCTTGCATCGAGATCGATCATATTTCTGCAGTATTTACAGTGTTTTGACAGTCTTTAGCTCACGTATCAGCATGGATGAGGGAGGGGTGCTAGTTGAGAGAACCAACAATCCAAGAAAAAGGAAGCGAAATGAAAAATAATGGGCCAAAAACCAGAACAAGGAAGATCATAACAGTGCTCCTGGTAAGTTCAGCCCCACTTACTCATTTTTGTGTTAGTGTGTACTATATTGCATTGAATGAATTGTAATACTAATAAGTAATAGTCTAACTAAGACTATTGCAATTCTGTTTGCATGTAGTATGAGCTCAAGGCTTAACCAAAACGAATTACTAGATACAATTTTGTAATTAAACCGAGGCCTAGGGTAAATTACGTGTTTACTGCCGCGCCACGGCTTCGCCTTCGCCGGCTTCAGTCACTGGTCACTGGCTTTGGTCACTATCTGCCCTGGTGCAGTAGTTTATGGATATTTCACAAGCCTTTGTTACATCATGAAATAGCCTCAGTGTAATGATAATTTGCCATCTATTAAGCAAATATCTGCTGTAAGTCTGTAACAAACATTTTGTATTTGAGTGCAGTCATAATCAGTGTTTTGTTAAATTTGAAGAATTTGATTTCGTGGAATACCTGATATTTACCATGATGACTTTCGTTTTATCAACAGGGAAGCAGCCAGCCATTGGATGCCAGCACATACCTCACAGCTTTTGTAAGGCGTCTTTGCTGACAGAAGGAGACATCACAGATACTTTCCAGAGACTTGAACAAGCCGTGGCAAGATTCATTCATCATGTGCCACTTCCAACTCAATCCAGTCATGCGCCATCAAGGAAATGGTCCCCAACCAAGGAGAGAGCAGAAGTATGCCCCAACATTTCAAGTAAGTTTTAATCGAGTCATTAAACAAAATTATCATTTGCTTGCAAATCAAATTGTTGAATACAGATCATACACAAATGCCCTTATCTCATTGCAATAATTTTCTGTTAATTTGAATTGAGTTGTTTAGTCGCTGGGGGGGGGGGGCATACATGTCTTGTCATGTGTAATATGCTACAATGCATCTATGTTACACATGTCAAACTAGGTCGTATTGTTGTTTTTATTTTATACCGGTAGCGTCGGTTGAACCATAAACAACTGGGTCAAAGTGAATTCATGAATTCCCCTCGCGCAAGCAACATACACTGCATGTCACACTGTGCAAAAAAATATGCACTCACGCAATGCAATTCTGCATGTAGATATAACATGCACGAGCAGTATAGGCAAGGACAGTTGGGGGGGGGGGGGCTTTGCTTAGAATTACAAACTGTTTTATTTAGATTGAATGAAACCAACAAAAATAAACTTTCCATGTACGGTTTTTGTGATTTATAATACAGGTAGCTGGAAATGTCCATTAACAATGTTTCACTTTCAATTTACAGATTACGACACAGCAAGGGGAAAATGTGGAGGTGTGCTCCGGAAGATTCAGATCCATCCTTGTACTTGGTTGGAAACGTCTGGGCAACCTAATGAAGTACGCCTGCCATTCAAAATCAGGATCGGTTACATTAGTGAACTATGAATAATTTCCATTGTAAGGTGTCTTCTCGTTGACATTGTTAAAGAAACTGTACATTAAATGACTGTATGTTAATTATTCAAGTACTTGCCAATTCTTGTATGTCTTAGGCGAGGCGTCAAAAATATTTATACCAGCCAGCGGCAGCTAACTGCACTTGTGCGTCCTGGCTGCATTTTTTTAATTAGCTCAGCCGGCTACCGCTGGCGGTAGGAAATGGCATTCAAAAGCATGCGCCGGCTGCCGCCTTTCGAATGGAAACCGAGCCTCAGATCCCAGCCTGGCGCAAGCCGGCTGGGCTAATAAGTGAAAAATAATTGCCCCAGCCAGGCTTCGGCCGTAATTGCAGCCTCGATGCGCCAATACGTGAGGCGGCAGCACAATTGGCGGCAGCCTGCTGGTATCGATTTTTTTGACGCCTCGCCTTAATTAACTCGCCGTTATGACATGAGATGATGAGTAAAGCAAATTTGCAAGACTTTCAAATTTCACACGATACAAGTCTTTACTGCCTGTTTATTTTGTCAATTTAGAATTGTGCTGAGTCACCTGAGTGTTTTTTTTTTTTTAAGTTGAATAGAGAGAACGTTTTTATGATTGAAGTTGCCCATGTACTAACTATTTGCGAAATGTGTAAAATTTTGATTGAAATTAGTGTGGAGCGAAAACGTCTAGAATGATGAAATGTGAGAAGTATGTTCAACATAATGTAGGCTTTCAATGTGTTAAATGGATAGATATGTGTGTGTTAGACGCTAAATTATAATTAAAAAAGTATGTTGTTACATCCGAACATCATTCTTAAAACAACAAAAAACAAAAAAATTGAAATGCGGAATGTCACATCAAAATTTTAATTCCAAAAGGCGCTAAATCCTTGTTTAATTCCAAAAGGCGCTAAATCTGAACGAATTGAAATAATAAAAAAATATTAAAAAATAATTACTATAGCAGGATTTCTTTAAGCTATATTTTAATGATATTTTGGGGTAGATCTTTGAACTGTATGAAAATTTGGCAGTTTTGTTGAAACAAAAGTGGTCTAACAGAAAACCTCGATTTACTTGAAAACACCAAAAGTGGATTTAGCGCCTTTTGGAATTAAACTCTTCATTTGGTAAATTTGTTTCTATCATGGTATGTGAGAGATATAGGGTAGTCCCATATACATCTTTCTGTGTATAGTGCTTGTAACTTTACGAAGAATGGGCCAAATTTGATGATTCCAGAACCTTGCAGATGCTAGATGCTAGATGATCAACCTTTTCTAATCGATTCCACAACGTTTCTTTCACAATGCAATCGCATGACCATAACTGGTCTTTACCTTTAAAGGCACAAAACAGTATGATGCATCTCTTGTCAAGTTTGGTTCTTTAAAGTTCTAAAGAACCTTGACAACAGCTTAAAAAAATTCACGCGATATGATTAGACGAAAATTCGTCTTTGAATTTTGTCTTCCTTTTTCTTACCTGTGTAATTTAAAGCAGTACTAAAATGATGAATTGTCTGCCCTAGCGAGCTATTTTGCCAACAATGCATAACCCAATACGTAATTGCCATGTGATGCAAAAACGACATCACAGCTATTAGGGAGCAGCCCGTTTTGCGACCGTACTGCTATTGACCTAGAATGGCGCTAGTGGGGATTTTACGGTGGTGCTTCTAGTAAAGTATGCTTTTAAAAGAGAAGTCTTTTTGTTAAGCACAGCTAGACAAAATGAAAAAAAGCAGATCAGTGAAAGTTCAGAGAAATTCGATGAAAAATAGAAAGTCGTAGTTTAAAAGAACTTAAAATCGATCAAAAGAAAATTTGCAAATCCATGAAGCACTTTACGAACACCTATCCCAAGTCCTTTTTGGTACTGACATTTTCATAAATTTTAGCACATGCGTGCTTGCGTAAAAACATTATTTTGAGAAAACCTATATTGTATAGTTATAGATCCAACTGCAAACAAACAGAGCCGTATTTGCTCAAATAGATAATGTGAGATAAATCGAGAAAAACCGACAGTTTGGCTTTGCAATGCATATGCCCCTAGAAGAGGTTCATGTGAGGGGCATTTTCATTGCAATCAAAAACTGGGGGTGTTTCTCACATTCCGACGTTTATTAAAGTAACGAATCGAAAAATGTCACCTCTTCATTGCATTTTCTTTAAAACGCCGGCCGAAACTCCACTGGCTTGTTCAGTGTCAATGGTCAATCTATACAAAAACTGTTAATTATTCCGGTTATTCATTACATGACCCTCATCGCTTCAGTGCTAGCGCATGCAGAGCAGCAATAAATATGCATGCGCACAACTCATAAGAAACACAAACACGAATATTATAAAAACCGACGTTTTTTTTTGTTTAAATATGTTTTTTCCAGTAAAGTAAATGGTAGCAGCTCTTAATGGCAAACCAAGAAATTCTCTCCATAATGGTGTTAAGGAATTTACAATTTTGGCAAAACCGGAGAGGGAAGGCAAGATAAGAGAAAAAACAAGGGAGATAGAGAAATAGAGAGCGAGAAAGGTTAAGAATAACAAGTAAGAAAATATAGCCTATTACCAAATATTGGTATTGCGAAATGCAAACAGAGCCCTGTTTGTTTAGATATATACATAATTGTATGCACGCAAACATATTAGCAAACAGTACTTGCATATCACATGAAAAAGGAAGTGAAACGTCCCCATGTCACAAGTGAACGTTACTATTGGAATAATGCGTGTGTGTACTTATGAGGGAGGGGGAATAGGGTTGACATCATATTGTGTTGATTATGTCGTGTCATTATTGTATCTATATAGAGTTTTAATTCATAAATTATCAATTGTTTGCCACCAACCAACAAATGGAGAAAACAAATCATCAATTCATTTTCAATTAAAAAAGTTTTGTGAAATCATAATGACAAAGTAGGGCGTACGGTAATTTAATAGTTACCCTTAGCTCTTCGAAAAAAGTGACTTGAAAATTGAACACCGATCTATACTTTAATATATCCCCTGCCTTGTTATCCCTACTTACTTAGTTATCGTTATCACATACATATATTAAGGAAAGCTGCACTGAGAAAAAGAACGTGCGACCTGCATGCGCGTTTGCGGTTCATAGATTTGAATCATTAAACTTGATCAGATGATAAATATAATTGAACGTGTTGACATAACGTGTATATATTTACCGAAATTCAAAAAAGGATTTCAAAGGTCTTAATACTGGGTGTGTAAATAAGAAAAGGCTCCCATTGAACATACAATTACAGGCTCTGTATTAAGGAAGACTGAATGTTTTGTTGTTGTTATGACATTAAGCGCTGTATTTTATTTATCATGTGTAAATATCAAATAGATTTATGATAGCGGCACACAGAACTTGAACTTGAGACCCACGCGATCTTGTTTCATAATTGTTATTTATTAAGTCATCACCTGACAATGTGTCAAAGATAAGGTGCAATAGGTAAACAGAACCTCGTCTAAATATATTGATATGTTAATTTGGAAGGTGTGTTGTATGCATCTTGGAATATATTTCAGTGTATATTTAGGAACAACCTGCTTTGTGTAGACTGCATTATCAATTGCTGTTCTGGGCACTTTCCTGTAAATAAGGGGTAAACCAGGGCGTAAGGAATATATTAAACTAAGCTCTTGACTACTGAATTCCCGTAAACTTGAACAAAGAGACTTATTACTTGGACCACTCGCTTCCTGTAGGCGAAGTTAATAAACGCAATACCGATATTATTAATATTTGGATAATAATGTTGGTATCCAATCTCCTAGCATTTGGCATTTGGCTGATGATTAAATTCAGGGTAATAATGCTTGTTATTATAAGCGTCGAGGGCACTCCCTAGGATATATAAATTATTATTATTATTATTATTATTATTATTATTATTATTAGTAGTAGTAGTAGTAGTAGTAGTATAATCTTTATTGACCTAACAACGCTGACTAACGGACATACATATATATTTGATCCGAATCAGATCTAATGTAGAGGATTACATCTTAAATTGTATAAAGGCTGTTGTTTCTAAAAGTTGTTTAACAGCACAATGATGTTCCTATGATTAAGCATAATAACAAAATAACACATGGATATTTCGTCAAATTATATTTGTATTTATTAACTTGATTCATTTTGCAGAGCCCTATTGTAAGAAGACAAACCACAACAAATACATTTACAAAACGGTTCAACTAATAATTCACGATGCAAAGTTCAGAACCTCACTACAAGCGATTTACAGCTAGTTTTTCTTCTTTTTCCATTGCAAGTATCAAGTATCAAGTATCAAGTTTTTTTGCCTTCCAGATAACACATGTGACAAAATATAATAGAGTATAATCATAACAGAACAATGTAGAATAAAGGAAGACGAGGAGACCTTGGTTGAAGCACAGCTTGTTAAGTTAAGGCCCCATCATATGATGTGACAAAGATAACTTATTCATGAATACAACAACAAATATGGAATATATAAAACTATTTACAAAATACTCTCAGAGAACAATTACCCAACGATGCATCGACCACAGCATGGATGACTACAACAAGTATACCCGAAGATGCGCACATCCCCATCACACCGGGTGAGTTAACAAGCTCACCATGTGTGTGAAAAGATGAAACATATGTGCAAAAAACCAACCCACCCATTAGAGGGCGATCTAATATGGACAAACCCAATCTGACACCAAGTCGAGACATCAATGAGTAATTGCTCTCTGAGTGCAGAGGTCAAGTAGGAATATATGGTATATGTACAGATGGGAAAGAAGAAGAAAAAAGAAAAGGGATAAAGGGGGTTATGTCAAAGTCAAGAATTAACGAAAAAAAGATCAAGAGTAGAGTTAAATGTGCTACATTACACAAACAATAAAGCTTGATAACACATTCATGTGTCATCGACATACTTGTGAAGAAAATATGACTTAAGTCTACGTTTAAAAACTAAGATACTTGAAGCA